GCAATGTCCACGGCCAGAGCTTGAACCCGGAAAGTTCAATTCGGAGACTAGCGCACTTACCATGAGGCCACTCTGCCTCCCAAAGCTAGCCTAGACAGCTTACTAATTGGAGACTCGTAGATAAACATATACTAGATGGATTGGAAAATTTTAGGAATGTTGGTTTTTGAAGAGGGAGGGAAATCCTAGGACCTAGAGATAAATGCTTAGAGCAAGGACATGCAAGAACAAAGACAAAACCAAACCAAGTTATGACGCCTGATCCTGGATTCAAACCCGGGCTGCGAGATTCAAACCCAGGCTGTATACTTGTAGGTTGGAGATGAATGCTCTCACCACTGCACCCTCCCACTCCTCTGAGGACTAAATGCACTCTACAATATTTTACTAGTTGAAAATCCAATTTAGATGTACTGGTTCCCAGCTACTGCACATTACTGTACATGTATGCATGTGCTACATACTACTCACTTCCCTTTAGTTATAGACTTAAGAAGGAAATTGCTGCGTGATGTATTACTTGTATATTATTTTATCAATTCCCGTGCTGGGACCTTTATTAATTGACTTACCCTTTTCACATTGTTAGGACATGTAGATTTCACTGTTGAAGTGGAACGTTCTCTGAGAGTTCTTGACGCGGCTATTTTAGTGTTATGTGCTGTTGGTGGAGTGCAGGTTTGTTGGTTTTAATGATGCAATAACTTAATACGGGTCTGATGTCTGATGTACTATGCAGTTTTAGCAACACATTAATTTTGCAAATTTCACGATTTCAAAAAAAAATTGGGAAATTAAAGTAACGTAAACAATGTCCATTTCCAGAAAATATCCAAACTCCCCCCATGAAAGGGATTAGAATATCCTGGGGGGTTGGGGGTTGTATGAGATCAAAAACTGTAAAGAAATGTATGAAGCTTAATTGGAATTTCCAGTGGGGTGGGGGACTCTTAGAAAAAATCCCGTCCATGGGGGAGGTACATGGATATTTTCTGGAACTACACAATAAGTGTCACGAACATAACATGATGCGCAAATTAAGGGACTCACATTATGTTCCTGTTAACATATAGTCCCAGTGTTGTTGATATTATTGTACCTTTGATAAAATCAGTTTTACTAAATTTAAGGAAATAAATTTGTGTGTTACTCTAAAACGCGAAGTTAGAGTGATTCAAAATACAAAATTTTTGGCAA